TGAGACATTTAGGAGAATTCTGCGGACAGTTGAAATGTATATAAATGTCTAAATAGTATATAATCTTAGGAAAATTAATTTTAACGATGAAAGTCTTATTTGTGTCGCTCTGATTTATCGCCGTACTATCAGGTAAGAATTGACCTACAGGTGTAGATATACAGATCTATAGTTGACCTACAATTGCTAGTATTCTATTTCGTATTGATTTAACATCGTTCTTTGTATTCATTCGAAAATTGAAGTCAGTAACAACAACCTGACTCGTTCAAAGTAATCATGCAAGGGGCTGTTAATACGTTTCCCTCCGTTTTTTAACGGTCTTTGCGGGATAATTTCAGTTCACGTTTAATATTCTGGAACGCCCGGTATATTTTCGAGTGTTTTCGTGTCGCTCGGGCCTGGTACGATGTTCCCTGTCGATCACCGGCAGCAAAAATGACGGTGATTTCTGATGGAAATGCATCGCCGCCAGGCGATTCTGTCCACTTAGCATCCCGTATACTACTTATCCCGCTGGTAAGACTTCGCGCTTGATTACAGGAACTGTCGGTCTCGACACGATTACGTTGTTCCGTCAAACGGAGACGTATTAACTTGATTACGAAGCAGGGATCCACGAAGAAATGACACACGCGGGCACGTTTCGTACATTTTACACGATTGGAACTTGGTCTCTTTCGTTGACTAATTGAATCTACCCAGCCTGCATGTATTTTCTCTATTTGTAAAGTACTTGCAACCGTGGAGACAAACAGGTAGAGCCACCCGATATATTGTACTTAATTTCAGTCGTGCAAGAAATTCCGAATTTCTGAAGTGTATAACCCTGGACTGCTGAATTAAAATAATTTTTTAATTAAAATTCAGAAATATTTTTGTAACTCCTACAGCAAGAAGGGCCCCTCGAATTCAACCCCCACCCTCGTCCCAAGGAAGGCTCCAGAATTCGCCACTGACTCTCACACACGTTTTTCACAAGTAAGCAGCCATCAACCACACGAACGGAACACTGTACAATCTTCTCGTCATTATCGACCCGGCAACCGAGTTCTGGTCGCGCATTTTTCTCCATTAAAGGAACCAAAAGGGCCAATCTACTTCTTCTGTAAAAGTTGCAATACCGAGCGGCCACGATATCGCCATAAAGACGACAAAAGATCCTCGAAATGTTCCCCGTACGAACGAAAGGCGAACTACAGGGTAAAAAGTCGTCGGCCCAGAGAGAGAGAGAACGTGCGACGCGTAGTTTTTACTGTTCGTGGTGCCACTCTGCGCGACGGGACAAAAGAGGTTGCCTCTCTAGTAACTTTCGAAGCAGGACACATCACGCCGATTCGTGGCGAGTGCTGGTTGCCCAGAACCACAAGGTAAATCTCGAAGAGCTCTCGAATTAAGTTCTCTCTTTGTCCCTTCCCGTTTCTGTTCCACGTTTTCCCGCCTCCTCCTCCATCGTCGACGAAGGACGCTCGAGCCGAGACTCGGAGGCGCGAGAGATCTCGTAATTATTACGTCGCGGAAGATACGAAGTGACGCGATGATTACCACCATCGCGGGAGCCTCCTTTAAGGAGCCACACCATCCCGTTGCAAGTCCCCCTTTCCTCTTTCCTCCTCTCGTCGTCCCATCGACCTCTTGTATCCCACAACCGTTTATCCTCGCGTTTCGCGGCCGGTAATTGCGTCGGGGGTTTCGGCGAGAGACAATGGCGTTTCGCCGCGAATCAAGGAACGATCTTATCGGCACACGAAACGCGTCCCCCCCCCTTCCCCTTCCTCCGACACACGATGATTTATCGCTTTAATAACAGTATCGAAGACGGCCGCCGCGTATCTTATTACCGGTCATCGATCATACGCGGGAGGATCGTTCGATTGCTGGAAATAAATTTCAATTTCGTGCAGTCCCATCTCGCTTGGGCTCTTCCTGGATTGACGAATACACTACCGTACATAGGCGTAGTCAGCAGAGGGGGGGGGGGTACTTTTTTCCTTGTTGGAGGGAAAAGAGTATGCTTTTCCCTGTTCCAAGGAGAAAAATAATATTATGAAATTTATCTTAAGGAGAAAAATATTACGAGATTTATCTTAAGAAGAAAAATAATATTGTTGCAATCCTGTCAAGTTGCTGTGCGGTGCAACTGAAGATGTCTCCGAAGGAGTCCCGATAGTCTCTGATAGAGAATCAGGGAGAACGAACGTTTTATATTTGTTGTTCGTTAATGTTGTACAGTTAATAAATATTCTTTTGTGTTTCGTAAATAAACGATATGTCGTGCGGCGGAACATACCGGCGTAGCAATATTATAAAATTTACCTTATGTTAAATTTTGGTCCCCCTCCCAATTGATAACCTGGCTACGCCCATGCTATCGTATAAATTGTGGAGAGTCGAAGTGGTAACCGTTGGTGGAAGGCGGAATAAATCGTAATCGAGGGGAGTGCGTTAAGGGGAGAGACAGTGTGCAAGTTGTTATCTTCTTCGTTAATTGCGGCTCGAAGTGGGGAGCGCGGGCGCCAGGAGGAAAAAGCAGAGGGGGACGGTCGTCGAGTCTCTCTCCCCCTCGTTGCCACGGTAGAATGCGTCTGGATCGCCGCCGCCATTTTCGTGGTCGGCTCAACAGAGGCGTAATAACTGCTGGAATTCATGGTAATGGCGATAATGCGTGCCTGTGGACGATGCGGGCCCGCAGGGGCTGAAACAGGACGGAGGGCGGGCGAGAATCGGGCCCAGGAACCAAGGAGGTGGGGCACCGTGCTGCGGCGTAGCGGAAACTTACGTGCGCGCGGCCCCCCTTCGTGTACTTGCACGTGTGAACCCTGGATCGGCCAGGGGGAGAAACGCCCGTTCTGATTGGGCGAATTCCGACGACCGGATGTGGAGCTCGGCCTCCAACGCATGGGAGCACAAGGCGCGCGGCGATCCGTTGCGGTTCGATTTTCGTTCGTGTTGCGGTTCCTTCGAGATCGAGGATCGGAGATCGAATTAGATAACGGTCACGTAAAGTGTGGACGTGTAGAAAATAAAAATCTCGTGGACGTTCACGAAAATTTTTATGTGGATTAGATTCTAGGTCAGTAGAATAGAAAATGTGCCTGAATATGTAAGGAAGTGACATGAAATAAATTTCTGATTATCCCTAGTGTAACTTTGAGTATTTTAGTTACCTTCTGCAGTTGAGAACTACTGTTAATTCTAACGAACTTATGCCAATACCTTGGTACGATCCTCACTCTAGTTATACTCTTTACGTAAATCTAAAGAATATTTCTGAAGAGACGAAATTAAGTCGATAAGTGTGCAGGATCGTAATAGTGTTGAAGAAACGAAACGTAACACACATGTCACGTTCCTAGCAATTTCTTTTCCATATTCTGTTAGCTATCCTCCACCTTTCACCTCATTAGCCACTTATTCCTCCGAATTCGTCTAACAAGGATTTCATTCAGAATAATCATCTGCAATCTACGACGAATCAATAGGTCCATTGTGTACATTACCGAACATTCTTCCGAACTCTACGATCATCACTTTAACATTCTATTAAATGTGAAAAGAAACGAGTAGAAGCCCACAGGAGTGGTCCCTTCCCCGGGCCGGATGTGTGGAGGTCTCGGCCCAAAAAGTGAGGGCGAGCCCTTGCATTATCTGTCTTAATTTGTCCGTCACGAGAATTAGCGCGAATCGAATGAACGACAAGGATAAAGGGGGACGGAGTTGATCAAAGTGGAAAAGAGAGAGCGACGACGGACACGAACCTCGCGGGCCTCCCATGGCGAGGCCAGCCGAGGACCTTCGACCCCGAGGACCAGCCACGGTGAAAGACGTGTATACACCTTGCGTGTTTCGTTTCTTTCCATGGGTTTCGACCGGTCCTGTCCTATCGATTATGACGTCGTCAACAGCACCGGACGGATACGACGTTAATGTTCCACGCGACGATATCCATTCTGGCCTGGTGAACGTTGACCGCCCCTTCCCCTCCACCCCCTTTTTTTTCAAAATCTCCAGGGGCCAGGTAGATTGATCGATCGTTTTGCGTCGGTTCTGTTCGCGACCGGGATAGTCGACTTTTCGTCGTTTCGTTCATGGGATACATATCTTAGCATTCTATTGGCTGTCATCGAGACCTAATGGACTGGACTCTCGAGAGGTTCGCCTGGTTCGCCACCCCCCCTCCCCTCCCGCCCCCAACTAATGGCCATCCGGTTCGCAAACGTCGACCGTATCCGCAGCTGCCTAACCACCGACTCCGTGAGGCTCTTGTAATGAAATTGCTAACCCTTTTTGTTTTTCGTGTGTGTAAAAAAGAGAGGAGGATCCACCGCCAGGCCCGTTAATAGGCATAATTTTCGCCCAGTTGTTGTACACATCGTTACATCGTGTAATAAACCATCAGTGAAAAATTCGCATCAGAAGGCGAGGGGATTAGGGCGGTGATCTCGGTGGGGAGATTTCGAAAACACACACAATCTATGCTCATGTGAGAGAATATTTAACGAGTCATCGGAATTACAAGATTCAGGTTCCTCCCCTTGGTAGATATCGTAACAATGGACCTCCGTCGACTTCTCACTAGGGATACCACCTTCGAAGCGTCCACTAGACCACGAAAGCTGTTTGACGAGAGCAAACGGGGCACAAACACCGGCCGAGTATGTATACAGAAGTAATCACGGGGTCCCTAATGTCCCTGCGAGCAACAGTCTCTCCTCATCCCCGTGACTCGAGTGAGAGACTGAAGTGTGCTGACAAGAGGAACGAATCAACCGCTGGTAACGTCATCCTCGAGGAACGTGTCTTGGAAAGGAAAATATCGTTGAGAAATAATCTCGATTGCTTTCCTCGGAAGAATCGATTGTCCGTTTTCTCTGTATAATAATCGTCAGCGTGTTTTTGAGATTGCTGGTGAATATTGTGAATATTAAATGACCGGAGGGCGTTGAAATCGAGGCGATGATTACGTCGGGACCAGGTGATTACGGTAGCGAAACACTTACCGAGAGTGCCGTCGAGGGAAAAGGAATGCCTGTCGTTCCTCCACGCCCACGAGCACAAATCACAGGTGGTGAGCCCGTCGGTGGTGACACCTTCCTCCGGTAAATATGGCGGTCTTGGTGGCGGGGGTACGAAGCTTCCTATCACAGCCCAAAGGGAGTCGACGTCGTTACCGACCCCCGTGTAATACAACAATTCCTCCTCTGCGACGCCGGCGAACCAGTCCATGTCGTTTACGCTGGGATGAACCGTGTTGGTGCTTGGCGTGCTCGGGCTAGTCACCGTCACCTGCAACAGAAAAATCGTTGTTAGTCGACGGTGGGCATTCGTCGCGAGGGAAAACGAGAAACGAGTGTTGTTGGATCAAGGAACCGTTACTGTAATTCGAATTCTTTCGTACGTCGTTTAGAAGTATGCACTTTGGTTTATTTAATTGTTCGGGTTGTCGGGAATATTCTTGTTTATTCGCATTTTGTTTAGTAGTGGATGGAACTTTTAATTGGGATTTGCACTTAACGTACAAATGGAGGACGATGGCAGACGAAGGAAGATAGGTGGGAAGTTACTGGTAGAAAATCATTTATGCAAGGATAAGTTTCAATCATCGATGAAGTTAAAGAGTTTGAGGGTTAATGTTCCAAAATGGCTACCTTCTACGTATAGCGGAGTTATACTGCAGTCTTTTTATTGTAGTTATTCTTTGCTTATGTTAAGGTGCATTACACGAAAGTGCTGTTTTGTATAGATCATAAAGGAAACTCTTACTTTTGAAAAAATCATTTTTATTTGAATGAAACATGCACCCTGCTGAGTAATAAATTTTCTGGAAACAAAATATACCTATTCCTCTCCTCTTTAAAACCTGATACATCCTATTTTTATAAAAATTGGTGTTTTTACGATTGTAAACGATTGTCATAGCAAATGGTTGGTAACAATACATATTTTTTTAAACAAATTCGCCAAAGCTAATATTGAAGTCAATCTACAAGCATCTGCTTTCCAAAGAGAGTAACTCCAAACACAACTACAAGTATACAAGCAAAACGTACTTCTTCTTGAATTTTCGGAAAGTTTCTTCAAAAGTATGCTACGGTTGAGTTTCTACACTGTTTAAAGTTCGAACCTCGAACAGAGTTCCGGACAAACACAGTTAATGGAAGCAGAACGGCGACACGGTTCCTCACCACTGGAAGTACGCATCTGTCCCGGACGACCGACAGAGATCGCGACCGATGGTCCTCTTCCGTTCATGTTTCGTGAAATATTGGTGCAAATACCGGCGACCAGCAGAAAGTATACCCTTTTCCGACTTTACTTCGTTCTCCGAAGCGGCGCTTTGCGACGGGGTCGGTTTCGTTCGGTTCCCTAACCCCAACTACAAACAGTGAAAACGGCGAGGGCGGTCGCAAACAAATCATCCGTCCCTCTCCCTTCGTGTACCTACTCTCGTCCCCTCGGAAGTTTTACTTGCTGGATAAACCTCGATAAACAGTGACAAAGCACTCGTGGCACCCGTCGTCGACTGAATACGTTCTCGGGTCAACGAAGCACGGCCTTGAAAGATTTTCGTGTAATTGGGACAGGGTATGAGAGAACAATGACCACGCAGCTTTCGAGATATTCTCGTTGGCACGAGGGGGCTATTGGGATTTCTAGGCGCAGCGACGCATTTCCTGGGATGTTTTCGGGCTCTAGTGTCGATTTTGTGAATATTGCTTCGGGTAAACTAACCCGTTGAGTTACTTTTTCACTTAACAGTAAAAATATAAAAGTTTGCAGAAAACAATACCTATTCTTTGTATTTTGTTATTTATATATGGAAACAAATTAATGACCTTACGGGAGTTTTATTTATATTGTATTAAACAAATATCTAATGTACCTTATATTTTTCGAGTTCAGAATCAGAACGCGAGAGATGTATTGGCAAGTACGATTTCGCCTGGGAAATGAATAATTCTTTCGGTTCATTAGGATTTTAAATAATACGAGATAAAAATCAGAACTTGAGGAAGTCATTGATAAGTTTAGGTATTTCAAACTCTTGATTGTAGTCAAACCACCTCTCAGACGAACAAGGTAAATATTGAATTAACATCTAGTTATTTTAGAAATTCTAACGCGACTGTTCATAAAATCCGAAGAATTCTCTAAAAAATTAACCATTATACTGAACATACAGGATACAATCCAAAATGTTTGAGCACTTCCTGACTGCAAGAAACGACGATAGAGCCCCAAGGACTTAATACGGTAATTGATAACTTTGCCCCCATTATGAGAAGATATCGTGTGGAAGATTACTGCGCGATTCGGTTCGATTAATGCAACACTGTCGTGTCTGCGTACGCCATAACCTCCCAGCGAGTATGCTTCAGGGGCAAGGAACGGTTTTCAACGATTTTCTGGCATTGCTGCGTGCTCGAGCTACAATTACTCCGAGGAAATGACGATCCGACACGAGGTTGTGGCGCGCCTTGAGCTACGAATTTCACACTCGATTTCCCGTAAGTTGGAGAAATATTCGACGCATGGGCTCGTTTCAAGGATGATTACCGCCCGTCATGGTCGAAGTTTGTCCTTCTCGAAACGTATGGGCGATCGTAATTGTCCGACGAACCTGGCAATCAGAGAGCGTTCCGTTTCATGTAACAATATTTTTCGTCCGCGGTAACCTTCCATTTCGATATAAACGTTAACAGTTAACTGTTCAACGACGATGGGTGGGTCACTCGAGACCCGCGAGTTATAACTTCATCAAGAAATTACTGTTTTCTTGTCCCTTTTTTAGATACAAGATCGTACTCTGAATTTAAGTGTGATTTTGTTATGGATAAAGATAACTTGGCTACGTCTTCTGTAAATTATTTATGATCTGAATATAGGTTAAATATTTAATTAACCGTTCACTACTAAATTAATCTCCTTGTCTTACGATTTTTTTAACGACTGCGGTCTCTAGAATTACTGTACCTTTAATAATTTCCCGGTGACAAAGGAATATCTATATTTACTGCAAGTATTCATTTGCTCTTAAATTCACATATTATTACCAGACAATGAATCAGTATTCAGGTTCATTAAATTTCTTAAGTCTGACTCGATGTTAACACTAAACCTACGGAACCCTTCAAAAAGGTAGGAATTAGAACGGCAAAACCGGTCATTTGACCGGTCCTGATAAATATAGTTTTACATTCCAAAGGATTAAATTTCGTTAATCATAAATAATAATAACAATACTGCCCTTCTTATATAGTGAATTAGGTACAAGAAGACTGCCATGAGATGCAACGACTGTTATTTCGAAAGTTCACCTTTCCGTTCCAATTTAATTTCAACACTCACTGTACAATGAACTTGCCACATCCGCAGTCACATAAACCCTCAAATTCCCATTTCACGCGATCGATTTACGCACATACGTACATACACATTTCGATTACGACCGTCTTGTCTCCGCCGTTCTCACGAATTCCCACTCGGCCGCGCGAAAATAACAGATCGACCGTGTCTCAATTAAACGAATCGAATCACGGGGGCCCCGAGAACGCGTCGATTTTTGCCCGGCCATTGTCGTGGTTTCCCGACAAAAAAGAACTCGTAAGGATCCGTCGAGGGGGCTCCGGCAGGTATTAACCACGCCGTATCCTGGTGTCCCACGGGACGGGGCGCTTTTGTGTCGAGAGCGAAGGGGGTCCACGGCCGTGATTACGGACGGGGCCTTAAGAGCCGATGGGGCCCCGCGGTCGCCGTACAATGGCACGCATTGATCGGCTTAATTACCGTGATATCGGCGTAATTAAAGCCCCGTTGTTGCGCGAGGACCCTTCTCTCGGAGGCGTCGACGAAACCCGTGACTGGACTCCTGGCGTCAGGACTCAATCCCTTTATCTCTCTCTGTCTCTCTCTCTCTCTCTCTCGATCCCTCTTGTCGTTCACCACGTTTTTTTCTTTTTTTTTTGTTCACTCGTCTCGTGACCAGCTCTGTCACTTCCTCCCGCGGCTCGGCAACGCTTTGTTAATAAGCCATTATCCGCGCCAGAGACGCACCTTCGACGGGATCACCGCCGTACTCCACACGCCTCGACCCCTTTCAATCGCGACCGGCTGAAAAAGGACGAGTGGACTGCACGAGAAATTCCAGGGAAATTTTCATCGACGATTCGATGCACCACGGCGCAACAAAATGTGTCTGACGCACTGGTGGTTGGTAGATTGGTATCACTTAACGATTTTTGTTATGTTCTGCTTGTATGTAGAATAATTTCCTTAGGAATGGTTATGGAATATATTTGAAGTATTCGCACGTGACTTCAATCGACACCGTGTATAATTCCACTGGAATCTCGAATAGTCGAACATCGTACGCCATTTCGACGCGAAACCCAGTTCAACGGTGGTTTCAATCATTCAGAAAATTTACAGTATTCCCATAACCGTATCGTTAACTCGATCTTTCCCTCTAATACAAACACTCAGACAGATTGATATTCCCCAGAAGTGATCGTAGAATTATTATAATCTCAAGAATAAGGAAGATCGATATCATCCAAGGCACCTAACCACAATTTCCAACAGACGCCCAACCGGCATCGTTAAGTAGTCGGACGTTTGTAAATCTCGCAACAGGTAAGTGAGCATAATTCAAAATCTGTGTGGATAATTCGTAAAATTACCGGAGTACGATCCACGTCCCACGTCAAACTCGTTGAAACGTCTACGGGATGTTGATTGATTTGCGATTCTACGCGATCGTTGTAACGAGCCGCCGCGAGAAGTGCTAAACTGGCCGCCGCGCCACGACTCGCCGCCGATACCACGGTTCCCCGCTTGGCTCGTTACGTTCCAAAGCGAACGTATCGTTATAATTACGAGGCGTTGGCGTTTACGAGCGAGGGGATGATGCCTCGTACCTGTTAACTCTCAACATTCTCTCCGACGACGCAGTCGTTCCTGGTTAGCTTCGGCGAACTGAAGTCGTTAAAAGATTTGTTAGGTTTACGTACGATTATCCGATACTCTTGTTGCATTGTTTCACGTTAAAAAAGTGTACTTTTCATGGAGCTATCATTCGATCAATTTTAACAGATTACCTACTGGCTGCTATTTAACCCCTTACCATACGATTTTTTTACGACTTCACTCTTAAAAATTAACTTTGTCGTTAATATTTTCCCAGACACAAAAGGAATTCTATTCTCATGGCAAATGTTACATTTCTTTTAAACTTTAAATGTTAATACCAGCGAAACAGTATTTCACGTCAATCCAAAGAAAACGAA